TAACTGAGGAAAGCCTCAAGAATGGAGCAAAGCCACCCGAAGAGAGAAGCTATGACATCTACAACCACCACCAGTGCTTTAGGTGTGAGACCACCCAAGATTTTCAGAGCTCACATCTTTGGTGCCGGACATAGACTTTGGTCTTTCTTTGGTCTCCTTTCTTTCTATCACCCCGTTCCTCCCTTTTGGAGTGGAAATGTTTGTCTGTGCCATTGTATGTTGGAAGTATTTGATTTTCTTTCTTTTTCATTTTTACGGGGGCTCACAGGCAAGAATTTGCTTTGAGTTTCAGAGGAGACTTTGGACTTGGACTTTTCAGAAATACTGGGAACTGTTAAAGCTTTTGAAACTCTTAGAAATGAACCAAATGCATTTTTCATAGAGATGATCATGAGCTTTTGGGGGTCCAGATGTAGAACAGTATGGTTTATATCTAGATGTTCCCTGTGAAGCTCATGCACTCAGAGGCAGGGCCTTTTGGAAGGTGACTGTATTTATTCTTTGCTTCCTAGCTATCATGAGCCAAGCAGCCTTTTCTCTCCTATGCCCCTCTGGCATGCCATCTTGCTTTGGAGCCAGCTGATCATGGACTAAAAATGTGAGCAAAATAAACTCCCTCCTCTAAGTTGCAGGTGTTAGGTATTTTGTCCCAGCTGCAAGGAAAGTGGCTAAGACAAGGACACACAGCAGTGAACAGGAAGAACAGAGAACCTGCCTTCTTGGTACTTAATCCAGGCAAACTAGCACCATGTGAGTAAACGCCAGGAATTACACTGGGATAAATGCTCTGAAATCAAAGAGTGAACAATGGAATGTAATCAGGTTGCATTTAATTAATTTAAAGAGTGTTGGCTCAGGCAAACCACATACCTTGGCCCCACAGTCTGTGATCTTTCTCTAACACAGCTCTTCTTGTTGCCTGGGGCTCCTTTCCATTTCCCAGCTCCTTCCCTCTTTAGGCCCTTCAGATGCTGGAGGCCCTAGAGATCAGCTCTTGTCTCTGGAAAGTTGCTGCAGCTTCTCTAGTTTTCTTTTCCCCTTGGAATATTGGGTTTCTTCTGGCAAGACAAATCTAACACTTAATAATGTCCAGCATAACTATTAATATATTCTGGTATAAGTTCTCTCTCTTTCTCCCCCCGCCCCGTCTGTGTGTGTGTGTGTGTGTGTGTGTGTGTGTGTGTGTGTATGTGAGTGTGTGTGTATATATGTATTTATAAATACATATTTTTAAGGGGAGACACATGGAACTCCCTCTAGTTTTATAAAAAAAAATTACAGGATATCCCCTCCACCAGTCCTGCCCCAATTCTCATTATTGACAGGTGAATGTGTCCTGTCAAATGAGTTCACTAGTGAGAGTAGGTGAGTTGATATCATCCTGGAGGAGACCAGAACAATGTGTGGGGCTGGGAGATAAAGACAGGAGAAGGGATGGAACACAGGAGGGGCACCAGGTGGGCTCAAATGGAGCAGGGGTTAGCAGGGACGCAGAGGCAAGGGAGAGTGATATTGTTGTCTGGGAAGGGAGCCTGTCAAGTAGAATTTGATTTGCCCCTTGTTCAGGCACCTGTAATTTAGGTGAAGCATCCCTCCTGGGCATTTCTTGCATCCTGTGGACCAGTTACCTGAGGAGCCAGCAGTGGAGGGATGTTTCAGCTCCTTACTCTCATGTGTTCATTCTCCACACAGACTTTGGGAAGGAAGTTCATGGCTCAAGGAAGTTGCTTGAGCGTAGCTAGTGGGTCCTGTATTAGTCAGCTTTCCGTCACTGTAATGTATACTTGAGATAATCAACTGATAAAGAGAAAAGATTTGTTTTGGATCATAGTTTTAGAGGTTCCTGTCCATGATTAATTGGAACCCATTGTTTTGGGGCCTGTGGCAAGGCAGCAATCATGGTGTGAGTATATGGCAGAGTAACCACGCTCTCTCATGGCCAGGAAGCAAAAAACAGAAGAGGCCAAGTCTCACAGTCTCCTTGGAGGCCAGGCCCCCAATGACCTAAAGACTTCCCACTGGTAACCCCCCCCCCCGTGAGTGTGTGTGTGTGTGTGTGTGTGTGTGTGTGTGTGTTGAAGATTGAACCCAGGGCTTCATGTATGCTGGGAAAGCTTTCTACCACTGAGCTGTACCTCTAGACCTGGCTCATCTTTTAAAGTTTGCACCACCTCCCTATATTGTTTTTTTTTTTGTTGTTTTTTTTGTGCTAGGGATTGAACTCAGAACCTTATGCGTGCGAGGCAGGCGGAGGCACCATTGAGCTAAATCCCTGGCTCCCTATATTGTTAAGCTATGGAGCAAGCCTTTAGATACGGGCCTTGGGTGAACATTCCAGATCCAAACTGCAGCATATCCTGAGGCCAACTTGTCCATTCCCTGGTTGGAAGAAGGACTGTCACAGGCCTCTAGGATAGAAAATGGGGTACAAGGTAGCAGGTATTGCTCCTCTGACTTAGAGAGTGTCTTAGTTGCTGTCTTATAGCTGGAACTCAATACCCAATACCAACAAATTAAAAGAGAGGTTTATTGTGGTTCCCAAGTTTTAGAGATTCTAGTCCATAATCATTTTGCTCCAGGATAGAGGCAGCATGGGGAAGGACCTGCCTCCAAGGAAAGCTGCCCTCATCATAGCAGCCAGGAAGCAGAGAGAGTGAGGGGAGGAGCCAAGGAGGGAGATATACACTTCCAGGTCACGACCCGTGACTTGTGTCTTCTGATCAGACCCCCACCTCTTAACAGAAAGTCAGCTATATGGCCCCCATGATTTAATCACCTTCCAAAATCCCCATCTATGAGTGCCTGAGGGTCTTTGGGGGGCATCTAGATATAAACCACAACAGGGAGAAAACCAACTACTCTTCAGTCTGTAGGCTGGAGGATGGGGATGGGGTGGGCAGCTGGAAACTAGAATGATGGAGACTTAGCTAGAACAGTTGCAGAGGAATGACAAGCAAGTAAATTTGAATCAGTTCAGTTCAGAGCATCAAATATAAGATTAAACAATCTAAATTATGGTCCTGTCCTCCTGGAGTCCATCTTCTGAGGAGGCTGATATCACTAAATGATGCAAGGACCCTGAAGGCTGCTCAGGGACCTGTCCTGGTGGCTGAAACTTCAAAATCATGAGGTTTTCATTCAGCAAGGCCAGGTTACACTGAAAGTGAGAAATGAGGGGTCAGGAGAGAGGAATGGTGATTTTTTTTGAGGAAATTTCAGAAGGGTTCTTTGAAGATGCCTAAGAAATTGACATATATATTAGCCCTACCTAATCTCTCTCTGGTACCCATGAGCAAAGCCACACCTTCTAGGAGGCTTTAGATATTATTTGAAGCCCACCTGGCCTAGTTTGCAAGTCCTGAGAGCTACTGTGTGTTGAGTGGCTGGGTAATGGGCTGAGCCCAGGCTGAAGCTAGATGTGAAGTACCCAGCTCTGCTCTGATGCGAGGGCCAAGGCCCTGAGGTCCATTCATTCAGCTCTCAGGGGCAGGGAGGGGACTAAGCCCTGGCCCATGTGGTCATTGATTCAGCCCAGTGGTCTCTGCTGCCAGCAATGGAGGAATGGCTCTGGTGGGTAGGCCATGTGTCTCTGGGGCACCTGAGCACCAGGTCAGGCTCCGTCCTCTTATAGCTGCCTGGGATAGGACCTCAGTGGGAGGTCTGGAGCCTGGGACAAGGACAAGCCATGGTGCTGGGACAGAGAACATACCCTCTGTGTTAGAGAAGCAGCTGCAGGTGAATGGTCTGGAGTCAGATCCAGGCCTTTCTCTCCAGTTGCGGGTCACTAATCCAGTCTCAGGCTTTGGCTTTCTTATTTGTGAATGGACACAACAGGTACCCCTTCATCCAGGTGTCAGGTAGGATGGACTTGGTTAACTGGACAGGCAAAAAGGGCTATTGTATTGGGTATCTGGACGTCACATGTAGCTATATGTTCCATATAGATATGTGTATAATTATCACTCTTGTTCCCACAATATTTCAGTACAGCTTACAGGCATGCATGCAGTCTTTTAAGATAGAAATTTATAGGTGAAGAAAGTGAGGCAGAGGCAAACAGTGGAAAGATGTAGTAAAACCAGAGGTGTGGTTAGCACTAGAAATACACATCACAGGCCTTTGTACTTAACCAGGCACCAAGAGGGAAACTGGTTACAAGTTATGAGTTTCACGGTGTCCATTGGGTCAAAACAAGCCATTGTTCCAAGGAAGTAGGGCCACTCAGAGAGGTGTAGGCCATCCACATGCAGACTTTAGAGACCCATGCTTCACAGGAAGTGCCCTCCTTGGTTCCTCAGCTTTGTCTAATACAGCTTTCCCTGAGTAGTCATGTGTGTAATGCTCAGGGCAGCTCTAGTAGATGTGCAGCCCAGCCAGCCTTGGCCACTGCTTCCCCATTCCTCCCCAGAGAGCAGGAATCTCCTCCCTAGGCAGCAGGTAGTCTGCTCAGCAGTAAATTAGGAGGGCTGGTGCTTCCTTTTCCAAGAGGCCAGGGCTGAGCTTAGCACAGAACCTCCTCCTGCTTCCTTCTGGGCCAAGGTGTACAGCTGTGTACAGCTTGCAAGGGGGGCACCAAGACCCCACCTTATAAATGATGCAGGTTGCAAAAATGGGACTGTGCATAGTGGAAACCAGGCAGCCTGTGGCCTTTCTGGGTGCCTGCTGTTCCCACAAGCCTGCTCCTTCTGGCTGGTCCACCTCTGCTCAGCTCCCATATATATCTTATTTGATCAGTTTATCCTTTTCAGCTAAGCCACAGGGGATTGTGTCAGCCTACAAATGGGTGTTTTGGAGGAAGATGCTGTCATGATGGGAAGTTGAGACTATGCTCAGATAGCTTAAATGGTATACTCCTAACCCTGGTGGGGCTGTAAGGACAGTGTCCCTTTGCAGCAGTCATAGACATGGCAGGTACTTGACACATGTCTGATGCTCTGGCCATGTGCTTCTGGATGTTGATAGCCCTTTTCTAACCTGCTTCTCTTTTGGGGGATTTCCAGGATAGATATGGATACCCAGTTGACACCCTAGCTGTGCTCCCCCTAGTCCACAAAATGCGATTGTGAAAACAGACACTCCTGGAACTCCTACATAGCTTTCACTGTGGATGATGGGTGACGACAGACTCTTGGACCACCCCCAGCCTGTGGAATTGCTCAGTATCTGCTCAGGAGACAGCCTGCAGTCCCACCCAGGAGCATGCCTGAGGGAGATGGGCCACGACCCAGGTCCTCTGGAATCTCGCCAGGAGCACACCTGGACCTTCGAACCTCCTGAACCCACCAGGACAGATGCTCCTCTCAGGGGCTCTGCTATGGAGCCTGCCTACTTGGGAAGCTGCTCTTCGCAGGAGGGGCTCAGGCCAACAGCAGCATCGCCAGAGGCACAGGGGGACAGCTGTCCTCCGGGGACTCCGCTGCAGAGCCAGAGCTCGTCCACACAGGTGATGTTCTGGGCTGGCATCTTACAGGCCCAGATGTGCGTCCTGGACCTGGAGGAAGAGCTAGAAAAGACGGAAGGACTCAAGACCAGGCTGAGGTGCTGCCTCCCCTCATCCACTCCAGACCTCCCTGGTGACACAGGCCTGCACCCCAGCCCACCCACCGAGGAGGACTCTGGGGAAGACAGCAGTGGGCCTGAGGGGGAGAGCAAAGCCTGGCCCAGGGAAGGATCCTCCCCAGAGTGGGGTCCTGAGGAGGAGAGTGTGTTCTTCGACAACCCCCTCTTCCTGGAGAGCCCTTCTTCTGACATCAGTGTTTCCAGGGAGTGCTTTTCCTGGGGCTTCCCAGACTCCCAGGCAGATGTGAGGCCTGGGGCTGACTGGCCATTCCCACACAACAGTGGGCCCTGGGAGCTAGAAAGGGCGCTGGATTTGGGGGGCAGCACCGCTGGATCCAGTGGGTGCACCACCCCTCCATTCCCTGTGCCTCCCTACAAAACACACCCTTTCTGCTGGGCCTCGGTGGCCACTGCTGAGGGGACTCCCACAGCACCTCCTGCTCAGGAGGAAGGCGAGGTGAGTTCAGTCCTGGAAAGCCACTGGGGCTGTGCTGGGAACACCAAAAGAGGGCCTTCCTCAAGGACCACCAGGTACAGAGCAGTCTCTATGATACTGGGACTTTTTGGAATCTGAGGTAATATAGGAGAAAATCACCAGTGTGGCCTGCAGAATTATGGGAAATTTTATTGGTGCCATGATGTGGACTGAATGTGATGACAACTAAGTCCACAAATGCCATCAGTTCACCAGCTCTTGGGGTTATGTCTGGATACATCTAGAGAACAAACAGCTCCTCTCCTTGCAAGATATGGGTTGGACCTTAGCCCTGCCACACACCCTGTGCAGCCATGGGCAAGTTACTTCCCCGCTCTGGGCCTCACTCTCACCTGGGTTTCCAGGGCCCAGCGTCAACACTACTAGGATGTGGGTCTTATCCCATCCAAGAGTTTGCTTCTGAGCTGAGGATCAGACTGGTGCCCGTGCTGTGGGTGGGAGGTTGGCAAGAAGCAAGGGGCTTCTGTATACCTGAGCATTCTGCCTTTCTCCTCCTCCTCCCCTTCCCTACTCACCCCTGCCTCTCTCAATAGGCCCCACCAAGCCCTGAGGGCTGGCAGATAGAAGAAGGTCCTTCCTGGCCCCAGGATAGAGGTGAGACCCATGATTGGAGTCTGGGAAATTGGGTGATAGGAGGCTTTGGGATTCAGAGTGGAGACAGAAGTGGTTCTTAGATTTGTTTTATTGTGTTGGAGCAGACAGACTTGGGCTTAAATCTAACCTTTGCTTCTATGCCTTCGTCAATAAAATGGGTTTTCAAATATGCAGAGTAAGTGAAGGAATGTATGAAAGACCCAGCACTTCTCATGTGCTTCTCAAGCACTGAGCCCTGCCTTGCCCAGGGGCTAGAGTCCTGGGAACCAAAGGAAGGATCACTGTGGGATGGAGGACAGGGCGTGCTGCCCAGTGCCAGGGGAGGTACCTGGGGAAGGGTTCTGGGGGCAGCAGCCAAATGTTCTGCACCTGCTCACTGTGTGCTCTTCCTCAGGTGAACGGGATGCCAGGTGTCTCCAGGAACCTGCTACCTGCACCTTCACTCCCAGCCCCTGTGGAAGCCCAGTATCCTCATCTGAGCCTGGCAGCCCTGAGTCTGAGGGCAGAGGCCCCGGCCCCAGGCCCACCCCAGTGTCGTCCCAGGAGGGCAGCCCCCAGCTCCAGCACCACAGCCCTGGCATTTTCCCCAAGTGGCCACTAGATGCCTCACACCCTTTGCTCCTGGAAACAGATGGGATAGAGCCAAGTTCCCCGAAGAAAGAAGAGGCTGGGGAGGCCCCAGACCCAGGGCAGGAAGTAGAGAATGAAGGCACAGCTAGGATTGCTGCAGGCACCCAGCCCGACGTTCACTGGACTTCTGCAGAAGGGTAAGTCTCAGATTAAGCAGCTTCTGGCTCCTCATGATGACCACACATCCAGACCCTGGTCTGGATTAAGTCTAGGAAATGCACATTGAGATCTAACATATTTAATTGCAGTCTTCATGACCTTATTACGGGGATTATATAGGATTGTGTAACTGTGCACCAGTGGAGTTTTGCTGAAGACTAGAGAGTTTAAAAGCACAAGAAACCAGAGAGCAGACTGACACACATGGAGGCAGGATTTGAGTATGCAGACAAGGCCAGGAGAAGTGCCCATAGCTGGACACCAGAATGGGAAAGAGAGGACATGTTCAGGGACACTGACCAGGGCTGTGATAGGAAGGCTTTGGGGTAGAAGGTCAGAGCTTGTGCTGTGGGGATTACAGACTGCTTTGAGTTGGAAGAAGTTTCTGGGAGAAATTCATCAAAGAGCCCAAGGCAGGATGCTGGTTTGTATCTTACCAAGGAGAGGTTTGATTGGGACTGAAAGAATGGATCTTGGTGCCCACAGCAGGATTGTGTAACCTCAGAACTGTGGCCAGGGGTAGGGATAGGCCAACTGGGAAACCAGCTTAGATGTCTGTCTGCCTCAGGATGCCAGCTCCTAGGAAATCTACTTGGGAAGAGGGTTTTGGTCTCTGATCAACTAAGTAGGGGCCATATTGAAGAGACAAAAGAAGCTAGTGGTGGTTCAGGTCATTAATGGTGGAGAAGTTACAATATAACCCTGCTCCTATCTCAGTGTCCTTGGCTGATGGTCACAGAATATTGGTCTGGGCCAGAAGCCCAAGAACCAGTTTTCCTTGTATCCCTGGAAATGATACCCCCTTGTAGCTGTTCCCAGGATGGGTACCAAAGATGTCTCAGTATCTGAAAAGGAAGATTTATTATCCCAAACAAAACTCTGTCCACCTAATGGGACAACTACACTTTCATGGTAAATAATGTGAAAAGGTTTAATTCAGACTTTATCTTGATAAATGGCACTAAACATTGTATAAATAAGTTTTATTTAATCTTATATTTAGCACAGTGTAACAAGCTTAATTTTCCTGGTACACATTTACTAGCCTCATTCACTTATGCTTGATTTTCACAGTGAGATCATAAAGATCATTTCAAAAATACAGACATTTATTGAGATGTAATTCACATACCATACAGTTAACCCATTTAAAGTATACAATTCCATGACAATTTTTGTTTATATAGTGTTTTTTCTTCCCTGAAATTCTTCCCCATCTAGACATTATTTTACCGACATATTTTTGACTAAGTAATTTTAAAAACAAAACAAAATGTATTTTAGGCCTTTGTCAGTAGATTATTCAAATGATTCTCTTTGATACTACAGTTGCATCATTATTTTTATTTCCTCTTCTTCAGTTATTCAGTGCACTAACTCTTGGAGTCCCTTATTGACCCATGACTTTCCTTATGACTCCTGGAGACTCTGAGCGTTGCTTTTGAGGACTCCATGAAATCTTATGTCTTCTTTTGTACTTTGCAGTTTCTTCACATGTATCCTCTACTGTGGGATGTTTAGGATCCTCAGAAAGTGGAGAATTTCTCAGGAGAGACCTGACCCACTCATGTTAAGTGCAGAGGCTGTTCAGTGAGGTCTGTTAGGTGGTCATTTTGTTAATGACTGTTTTCGTATTGTGATGATGTATGCCTACCTGTATGTACAACCCTCAACTGTGTTGACTTGGATCAAGCATATGGAATGACTTGGAAGCCCCTCACCTGGTTGTAACACTGCGGGAGAACCAGCATAGTCAGGTGGAAATGGACTTTTAAGAGTCTGAGTGTTAGCGTCTGAGCACGCTCTGACACTAGTAGGGTTGTCTGGGCCTGTTTACACTGTCATAGGTCACCAGCCAGTCACCTTGTGACTGGCAGGGGCAGAGGGAGACTGGAAACCTTCTCCTTGACTTTCCAAGTTGTCACCATTCCTAAAGCTAGTCTAGATCCCTGGTTTTGGCCTGAACCTTACATTCTGTTAGCTCCAGAGCTAGGGGTGGAGGCTGAGGCTGGGGCTGGGGTAGAGAGGTGGAGACCTGTGATAATGGGCTCAGGTGAGGGAGACAGTCCCATCCTACCGTGGGTCGTGTCCAACCCCACTGGGGCCCTCAAGGGCTGTACCTACCTCCTGAGTAAGATGGCTTGGAAGACCCCTGGAGTTCACCTGAGGATGTTCAAGGGATCAAACTTGGCTCTGGTCCTTGTGATTTTACCTGACTACTTCCCCTTGGGGTTCTCTGATCCCGGCCCAGGCCAGGCCAGGCCAGCCATGACTTTTTCTCTCCCTGGGCGAGGGCCTAGGTGTAGCTCCTCCAGGACGGGCGTTCAGGACTCAGGCACACCAGCCCCAACCCTAAGTTCTGGACATGCTTTTCAACAACTTGACCCAAAACCCCAGCATGCCCATTCCGTGTGTGTCTGAGGACAGCAATGGACTCTTCCAGGCCTCCTGAGAGCCCCATGCCCCAGGCACAGTCCCCCAAGGAAGACCAGAGGCCACCAGCTGGAGATAAGCTGGCGAATGGTGTCAGGAATGACAAAGTGGCCTGGAACTTGGCTTCCCGGCTCTATCACCTGGATGGCTTCCGGAAGTCAGAAGTGGCTGCCTACCTGCAGAAGAAGTAAGAGACTTTGGGTCTGAGACCTCCACTGGCTGCTCCTCCCCTTCCCGTCCTGCATCTCCTTTGTCCCTCTCCCCCCAGTGTGTCCATCCCTTGTCCTCAGCCTTTCCCCCACTCCCTGGCTGTCCCTGCTGCTTCCCCTGGGCACACTTGTGTCAGTCACCTCTTCTCCTCACCTAGATGCTTGCTTGGAGCCTCTGGGCCCAGGCCCCTTGCCAGCCCCAAGCCCCCTGACTCCTTCCTATGCAACACTGACCTGATGCTGGAGCAGGCGAGACCCTGGATACCCCCTGGGCTCGTACTCGGGGTCCAGCCTAGCTGTGACTTTCCCTTGTTTGCCACTCCCCACCCTCCCGTCAGGCCCCATCATGCTTGCAGGCTCTGGAAGGCCCTCTGTGTCTATGGCCCAGCCTGACCTCTGTTGCAGTCTTCATCCCCATTTCCCTTTGCAGCAATGACTTCAGCAGGGCTGTGGCTGAGGAGTACTTGTCCTTCTTCCAGTTCGGAGGCCAGAGCCTGGACTGCGCCCTCCGGTAACACCTTCAGGCCCTCTGGGGAGGCTAGGTAGGAGGGATGGGCAGGGCTTTCAGGACCCAAGCCCAAGGGGTCTTCAGAGCATCCCAGCCTGGCTCTCCTTGACTCAAGCTCTTCTCTGCAGGGGCTTCCTCCAGTCCCTGGTTCTCAGCGGGGAGACACAAGAGCGGGAGCGAATCCTCTACCAGTTTTCTAGACGCTTCCACCACTGCAACCCTGAGACTTTCCCCTCAGTAGGTAGGGAGAGCTCGCCCAAGGCAGGGCCGAGGGTCTTGGCACAGAAGTGTCCTTGTATCCACTTGGGAGTTCATTGGGGGACAGGGCTGGGAGTGTGTTGGGGACTGCAGAGAAATAGGGGGTCACCCTGTCTAGTGTGGACCAAGGATAGACAAGTCTGGGTTCTAATGCACTTTCCTCCACTGGCCTCCCTGGGCAGATTCCATACACACCTTGACCTGTGCCATCATGCTCCTTAACACGGACCTGCACGGACAGGTAAGAAGCTGGGAGAGCACCTGTGAGCCCCAAGCAGGGGCCAAGGTGGAGGGCTGCAGCGGCCTGGGGTGGATCAGAACAGGGCCCCTGGAGTGTGGTCCTGGGGGCCTGGAGAGAATTCTGGAGGGGCCATCTGGGAGTGTGCTCTGTCCAGGGGCGCGCTCTAGCTCTCCCATTTCTATCCATGGCCACAGAACATCGGGAAGAGCATGAGCTGCCAGGAATTCATAGCCAACCTGAACGGCCTGCAGGATGGCGGGAACTTCCGCAAGGAGCTGCTGAAGGTGAGGCAAGGACATCCCTTGCTGGGTTGGGACCCAAGGGGAATGAGGAGCTCCAGCTTGGCTCTGCTGAAATACCCTTTGAGAAGATGTGGTTTGTTTGTTGAAGGGCTAAAAAGTGGGTCACTGGCTGGCAGCATCGACAGCATCTTGGAATTTGTCAGCTGTACAAATTCACAGCCCTGGAGCTACCGAACCATGCCCTATAGATCTAAGGTTCCTCAAATGTTTTAATAAGTTTCAGAATGATTTTTGCCCCTTCAAAGTCAGAAGTCCTGGTTTATTGGTTGTCTGAGTAGATGAAAAACAGTTTTATGTAGCAAAAGTCTAGAGCTCTACTTGGGAGCTAGGTGTTCCTAGTTTGAATTCTAGTCTTGAGCAACCTAGTCTGTCACCCACCTCACCAACTCAAGTTCCTTCTGGGGTAACAACCACCTTATAGTCAACATGAAATAAAATTTGTAAAGAGCTTACTTAGCACAGTGCCTGGCATATAGCATGTGCTTCGTAAGTGATTAGATCAATGTTCATTCATCTCTCTAGTAAACATTTATTGACTCTGTGCCAGACTCTTTGCTAGGTACTTCAAGGGCCACAAAAGCAAGGGAGATACATCTATGTTAATACTATTTGTTATATTATTTCAAAGCTCTAGTACATCATTCATTCATTCATTTATCACACATACATTAGAAGGGAAGGAGTTCAGCTGGGTTACTTCTCTGTCAGATCCCTCTGGGCAGGATGGTAGTATGTGATTCTTGTCTTCTTCAAAAGTATTATTTTAGGCTTCACTGAGCTTGGGCAAAGCAGCAACTTGGCTGCCTTGATCATCTTTATGTCTTCAGTAGCTGGCATGGGGCCAGGCCCATGAGAAATACTCCATAGGTGATGTGTTGCATGGATGGATGGATGGTGGATGGATGAATGGATGAGTGATGGATGGATGATGGATGGGTGGATGGATGAATGGCAGATGGATGGACAGTTGGATGGATGGATAGATAGATGGATAGATGAATGGATGCTTGCCTACTTAAGAAGGGCAGGTATGCTGTGGGTGGAGGGGACAGGCCATACACATGTCCCTAGCTGTCTGTCAGACAGTGATTTAGGGACCACAGCCCCAAGGCTTCTCTGCCTACCTATGTGGTTCTGTTGCAGGCCCTCTACTGGTCTATTCGAAATGAGAAGCTTGAGTGGGTTATGTAAGTAAGAGCCCCCTTCCCCTCTACCCCTTCCCCCTGCTGCTGGGCCTGTTCTCTCTCTGTCACCCACCTAAGAGCTGGAGAAGTTCAGGGCCCTGGATGACACTCCCTTTGAGTGAGGTGGAGCCAGAGGCAAGGTGTTGTTAGGCCCATCTCAGGGAGGAAAGAGGAGCTCAGGTAATATTAGGGATCCCAGAGGTAGTTGGGGGTGTGAGGGCTTATAGCAATTTCCAGGAATTGACACAGTGACTCTGAAGGAGGACTCCTTTTGGGGGATCCTATTATGGGAGGCAATGGCTACTTTTGGTGGCCTTTGCCCAGTCAACTTCCCAGCTCAATTCTCTGACATCCAGGGATGAAGAAGAGCCAGCCAGAGCTGAGAAGGCCCAGCCATCTCCCCCAGCTGGCAAGATGAGTAACCCCTTTCTCCAGCTGGCTCAGGACCCCAAGGTACCCACCTACAAGCAGGGCATCCTGGCACGGAAGATGCATCATGATGCGGATGGCAAGAAGAGTGAGTGTTTCCTGCCCGTGAGCGGGGTGGTGTGTGGGGAGGAACTCTGCTCAGGGACCTCGCCCATGTGCGCATGGAGTGCAGAGAGATGGCCCATAACAAGGACAGGCAGCCCATGTTCCTTCCTCAGCACATCCTGAGTGATGACTGTGCCAGGAACTGGGTAAGGGGGTTGGGAGTAAGGTGCTGGGACAAAGCAGTCTAGTTTCTGCCCGGGCCCTGGAACCCCTGTGGTGAGGCAGAGACCACACAAGTGAATTGCCATCTGGATAGAGGGTAGGAGGAATGGGGTCTGCAGGGGACACTGGGTCCAGTACAGGGTCATGGAGGAGGGAAAGGCTTTTGATTTTGTTCTGAGGACTAGATATGGGGACAGGGATAGAGAAGGCTTCTGAATGGTGATATCTCAGAGAAAGTCTGATAAGAGTCTGATAAGAGGGTCTGGATTTTTGCATTAGGGGAGAAGGCATCTCCTGCAAAAAAGAGAGCAAGCAGAATTTGCTGAGAACTTGAATTGTGTGAAAGGGAATGGCAGAGGGTGCACTGGGGCAAAATTGCCAGGGTCTGCTCTTGGGCCTCATTTCCCAGGCTTTTGAGCAGAAGAAGGCTTTTGAGCAGACTGACCAGAGAAGCCAGCTTTGTCTCTGGACTCACAGATTGAATGGGGTGCAGCCACCAAGAAGGAGTCCAGCCCAGCATGGCTGTGAGGAGCCACAGGGAGCTGAGCAGGGTGGTGACCACAGGGAACTGGGCTTTCTTCTGCCCAAGGAGCTGAGACAGGTCTTACGGGGTGGGAGAGTTGAGAGGGAAGGCAAAGGCGAGGTTGTTCTCCAAAGTGGGTACACAGGGAAGAACACCCCAAGACTGGGACCTGAGCCCTGTGCCCTGCCAGATGGGCACACACCATCAACATCATCTTGCAGGAAGATGTCTGAGTGGAACTGTTTGTTGGTGGGTTATTTGTACTGGGAATGAATATCCACATTTGTGTGCAGATAGTTGTGTCTGGCTGCTCCTGAGCAGGATTGCCTGTGTGGAGACTCCCTGCTTGTTTGTGGTTGTGTGTGTTTTTTGGTGTTGATATGCCCCATGTGTTTATATGTATCCCATTGGGAGAGACTGGAGGTAGTGTGAGGGTGGGAGGACTGTGTGCACACTCGTGAGTGTCTGAGTGTGTCTGGCTGTGGATGCACCACCCACCATCTGCTCCTGGAACAGCACCATGGGGCAAGCGCGGCTGGAAGATGTTCCACACCTTACTGCGAGGGATGGTTCTCTACTTCCTGAAGGTAGGAAGGGAGTCTACACCCCTGGCAGGCAGAGAGCCGGAACTGTCGGGAGGGAGGGTGGCAGCTGATGACAACCTCTTCTCTGAGTACCCTGTGCCTGTGCAGGGAGAGGACCCATCCTTGGAGGGGGAGAGTTTGGTTGGGCAGATGGTGGATGAGCCTGTTGGGGTGCACCATGCACTGGCCACCCCTGCCACCCACTACACCAAGAAGCCTCATGTCTTCCAGCTGCGGACTGCAGACTGGCGCCTCTACCTCTTCCAAGCACCGTAAGTCCTGAGGGTAGGTGAAGGTGCCAGGCCTTGACCACCCTCACCCTCACATGCGATGCCCGCTGGCTGCAGCCCCAAGAGGCGCTAGGGACACAGAGGCAAAGCAGGGGTGCGGCCTGTGAGGCTCCTCCCCATCTTGGGGCAACTTGGCTGATTTCTCCTCCTTTCCTGCTAAGTCAGGGTCAGGCCTCCTAGTGCTGATCAGAGGACTCCAGGAAGTCAGTAATAATCTACCATTTTTGGCATTTGATACAAAATCTCTTGCCTTTCTAAATTCTTTGAAAGGTAAAACCGCTAGCAGAGGTCAGCCACTAGTGAGGGGCAGGTTCTGGTTTGAGGGGATGGAACCCTAAGCAGCTGGATGGCTGCAGAACACGACAGGCATGTGTATTGTGTGTGTGCGTGCGCGTGCGCGAGTGTTTTGGTGTTGGACGGTGACTTTGTCCCTGGGGACTGAAGACCTCTGGTGCTCACAGCACAGCCAAGGAGATGACTTCCTGGATTGCACGTGTCAACCTGGCGGCAGCCACGCACTCAGCACCGCCCTTCCCTGCTGCTGTAGGCTCCCAGCGCCGGTTTGTGCGGCCCATCCTGCCAATGGGGCCGGCCCAGAGCTCCCTGGTAAGGTGCCAGGGATGGGTGGGGCGGGGTCCCCAGGGAGCCTGGCTTGGGAATCAAGCAAGGGAGGGCTGCACACCTGGGCCCTCGGGAGAGGAGGAGCAGTGAGGCCGGTGGGGGACATGGGACAGCTCCTTCATCCTCATCGCCTCCCACCTCCAGGAGGAGCAGCATCGATCCCACGAGAACTGCCTGGACGCCGCCTCTGATGACTTGATGGATCTGCAGCGGAACTTACCTGAGCGGCGGGGCCGCAGCCGAGAGCTGGAAGAGCACCGCTTGCGGAAGGAGTACCTGGAGTACGAGGTGAGGTGCCCTCTTCCGCCCTCTTGTGGCTGCCTGTGTCCCTGCAGCCGTCTCTTCCCCCTTGTGCCAGGGCAGGAAGGTGTCATTCTCTGCGCGCACGACACAGGAACTGCACACTCATGCATGCTTTTCTCAAGTTGAAGGGAAAACTGTATTATAGCTGAATTATTTCCCCAATACGTACTCAATAATAATAGGTAGTATGTATGAAGCTGATGTTACCTGCATAGATCACCTCATTTGATTATCTAATAGCTCTGGGTTAGGCACTAACTTCATTTTATATATGAGGAAACTGAGGCACCGAGAGATCAAACAACTTTACCTAACCTGCTAGATTTACAGTCTGCACCAATCAGGTGTGTGCTTACCGTGTGTGCCTAACTGTGCACGTGTGACTTTTATTAGCTCTGTGTGTAATTGATTCCAAAATGCACTTTTGTCTAGTCTGACTACCAGCCTCCCCCCTACACACCCTAGTTCTGTACCCTTGTGCCAAGTGGCTGCTTCAGGAGTCCTGGCTGTCCGGCTTAGGGTGGGGGTGCAGTGGTCAGCAGTGTAGGCCAGGTGAAGTGTGCTGTGAGAACAGAGGGTGGCAGGGGGAGGGGCATCAATATTGCCTCCTGCCTATGCCCACTAGGAACTTGTGTGGCCCACCCTCTCCCTTGATTACCTTCAGAGTTCCTGCCCAATGCTTTAGCTTATTGGTTATCACCAGGGCTATGAGTGCCCACTTCCCCAGAGGCCTCAGGGGTGTGGCTGAAAGGACCCAACTTCTCCCCCTCACTGCCCAGTTGGAGACATTGGGCACTGGCCCTCCCTGCTCCCATTTCCTCCTTTGTAAATCAGAGATGGTGGTTTGTGCCAAACCAACCTCCCAGGGCCTGGATGGTGATCCAGTGGAGAATGGGAAAGTACTTTGTAAACTCCAGGTCTCCCAAGGATGCTTGTTACAGATATTAACAGATGAGGGTAGCAGACATCATGCTGTACAGATGCCAATTGTTAACATACTTTTCAGACTCTATAGGGCTCTGTCCAGATGTGAGCTGCCCAGGTATAATGCTGAGTAGATCCCAGGCAGAGGGGCTTATGCATCATGTAGTACCTCAGAGTGCACGCGCTCGGAGGTGTAACGTGGTGTAGAGACATTTGTTACAGCACTGCAGCATGTTGGTTGTTAGAATAGGCCTGGCCTGGTTTGTATGATTATAATGTGATCCATAGGTGCACCCTGCAGAGCCTGATTGCCCAAGCACCGTGCAGAGGCTGTTGGCATAGCCTTCTGTCTGTACAGCTCTCTGTCTCCATAACCGCACACACCTGCAAGATGTCCCTCACAATTCCAGCCTCCTTTTGAATTGAACCGTGTGTTGCAGAAAACCCGCTACGAGACGTACGTGCAGCTGCTGGTGGCTCGTCTGCACTGCCCCTCCGGGGACCTGGATCTCTGGGAGGAGCAGCTGGGGAGGGAAGCTGAAGACACCCAGGAACCCAAACCCAGCCTGAAGAAGTCCCACTCGAGCCCCTCCCTGCACCAGGATGAGGCCCCCACCACAGCCAAGGTGAAGCGCAACATCTCTGAGCGCAGAACCTACCGCAAGATCATCCCCAAGAGGAACCGCAATCAGCTGTGAAGCTGGTCACAGACCTGGCCCCTCTATGGGGTAGCTGGAGACAATGCCCCGTGGGGAGCCTCATTTCACTGGATCCAAGATGAGGCCTGAGGCGCTTCCCTTCTCTGCTGAGGGGCAGCACTTATTTCTCTGTGGCCCCATTCATTCCCTGACTTACTGGAGCTTCCCTAATGCCACTGTGCCTGACCACCACTACCATGGCAGTCACTGTGCTGTCCCAGTCCCAGTCCCTGGCCACTCCTGAGGGAAGAATGAGATGGAATGAGGACTGGGCTTCACTCCCAGCATTCATCCCATGTCACCCCTGTTCCTCTACTGGGGTGGTTTCATTTCCTGTGCATACTTGAACCTGGGGGAGGGTTCAGGCCAGGCCAGCCAGGGGAACCCCATCCTTGAGGACAGTTAGGTGACCCCCCCAGGGGATGCCCCGAGAACAGAGCAGGAACTCTTCCCAGAACCTAGCTGTGACCCAGGGAGCAGTATCTCCCAGGCTCTGCCCACTAGGGGGCAGCCTTCTGGGAGAGCCCTCAGCTGGCTTCTCTGGGAGGCGGAGGCTCAGTGCCTTTGTCTCCCCCGGCTCCTTCCCCTAGAGCTGTCATGCTTGGGGCAGATGAGAGAACCTGGTGCTCAGTTGCTGATCAACAGAGTGCAGCGAAGGCCTCTGGAGCTCTGTGGAGATCCCTGGAGTGCTGGGAACAGGGACCCTTTGTTTTCCCAGAGCAGAGAAGGTGGTTCTCCAGGTGTAGCCAGCTGGCAAGGGTGGAGGAGTAAAAGGTGGGGACAGTTCCCTGAGAGGGTCTGCCTGGCCAGAGCCGTAGCTGAGTAGAAGTTCGTGGGATAGAATGGAAACTGAAGACCAGGACCTCCTTGGCTAGTCATGTGAGACACGCACCCCTTGCTGCACACCCCTTAAAGCTGTACTTCTGAGGGTACCAGGACACCTTCCTCCCCCCTGAGCCTGTTCCCCGAGGCTCTGCTGTCCCACTCTGGGAAGTCCCTTCGTCCTGTCCTGGCTGCCTCCCAGCCAGGCCTGTTCTCCAGGGGAGGTTCTAAGACCGGGCCTTGGGGCTGTGTCTGTGGAAAGGAAACCAGGTTGGAGGGAGCCACCACTATTGTTTCTGTTCAGCCAAGTGTACAGATAGGCTGCCTGCCAAGTGGGCCCCTCTGCTGCCTGCCCACTGCCCGGCAGCTGCCATGCTACCTCACCTGTCTTCCTGCCAGGCCACCCTCCTCTCTTCCGATAGTGCTTGTCATAGAGTGGGACTGGTCCTTGAGAGCCTTGAAGTTGTCTTAGGCCAGGGCCTGGGTTGGGCCATGCACCCAATGGGTGTGCAATAAATATAGGTGAATGAAGAACGAAGTGTGCACGAGTGTGTGAGGATGGATGGTCAGGCAGCTATGGGGTGTGGCAGGCTGCATCTTCCTTTGCCCCTGTGCGGTGTGCACATTTGTGTGTGTGTAGAGTGCTCTGTGTTTTCATGGTGGAGCCACAGTTACAGGCTGTCAAGATGGATGGAACCTCAGAATCATTTTCCATCCACTCATTGATTTCACAAATATTATTAGACACTTCACATGCGCCAGTACTAGGTGATCCAAAAGCGAATTAAACATGTGCTGACTCCATGAGTTGATAGTCTGCCCACAGTTTCCCAGCTCTCAGGAAAGAGATGTACTTTATCTTGCTGGGAAGTCAATTCCTGCCACCTGCCCAAGGATTCTGACTCAGGAGGCCTGTTGGGCCGAAAGGTGTATGTGTTTAAAGCTCCTTGGATAACTGAGGTGTGACAACAGTGAACAGCCACACAAGAGTCCAGTTATCTCATTTTACTGAGGTATAAACTTTGCTTACAAGCTAAATGGCTTTGATGGGTTCTTTGACCTCCTTGACTGTGTATGCTTATTTATAACACCAGAATAAAAGGTACAGGTTTGTTTGAATGTGTGATGCCTCGATGCTCCTTTGCACATGTGAAGTTGGCATCCTCATTTCACTTAGTCACATGAAACCTTCATGGCCAGGTGTTCCTAGCTGTATGGCTTCACCAACTCAATGTTGCCAGGCATCTTGGCCGGGAAGATCTGGGGAGGTGGAGAGGTTGCTGGGTTGCAGTTACAACATATTACCACTGGAGGGCGGGCTTGCATCTCCCTAGCTCCTGGCTGCGCAGGTGTGTGGCTGCAGAACTGTGTTCACTGAGAGGCTGTGCACCCCTGGGCTATCGTCGTAACCAACCAGTCTTCCACTTCCTCAAAGCTACGGGGCCCAAGCCAGGGATCCTACCGTCTGCGGAATTCTTTCCCACTCGGGATTGGGGCGCTGACGTTTTTTCTGGAGATGGAAAGGAAGACGTTTCTGTTCAGCAGTTTTTCAGGTGATAATAGTCATTTGTTGTTTGCCAGCATCAAAGAAGATGCAAAGATCACTACAGCTCGAGACCTAGGCCCTCCTTTGGGGCCTCAGAGTCTTCTGCAGGTGGAGATGGAGACCGTGTGGGGGTTGAAAGGAGCTGGGCTGGTGGGTCAGGTTGATGGGGCTGAGGGAAACAGGACCATCAGGATGCAGAGGCCAGATCAAAAGCTGCACCATGCTACTGCAACTTTTAAGCAAATCTAAACTTATTTCAAAATCTTTAAATGAACTGAAAGGGAAACTATAAAGACAATGGCCTGGAGTCTTGGAACACCTGGCCACACCTGGCCCTTCCCCTGGCCCTGCTGCCCCACCCCGTTTGCATGCTCACAGTATTTAAGGGTTTCTTGTGCCGGGGATTTAGCTCAGTGGCGCTGGGCCTGCCTTGAAAGCTTGAGGTCCTGAGCTCAATCCCTGGTACAAAAAAAAAGTAAAACAGTATTTAAGGGTTTCTTGAAAGGCCATTGTCCCAAGTGCCACCTCCTCAGCACTCTGGCCTCCAGCTTTTCTGGATGCCTATGCTCCTTGCCATCTAACTGGCTCACACCTTTCCCTGTCCCCTCTGCTTCCCTTCACTGGAGGGAAGAGCTGTTGTCTCTACCTGCACCGCCGCCCCCCCAAGTTCTCACACTGTCCCCTCTCCTGGCTGCTGTGGACTTCTCTGTCTCAGGTTCACATTGAGGGGTGGGGGGCTTTGGGCCTACTCTCCCCTCTCTCCATTTTCTTGCCTTACAAACCCCTGCAAGTATCACCAACATGCAAAAAGAAAAAATACCAGGCTGCGTCCTGCTGTGTTGATTCCTGTGGCTGACACCTGCTGCCCTCATTTCTGAGACGAATGCACAGGATGGAGGGTCTTCGCCAGCTGCCTCCCACCACTCCCTGGTTCCCATGCTGACCTGGCTCCCATTCACACCTTACAATTTGGCTTCCACCCCAACCTTCTCTGAAGCACCACCCCTAGGGCCTCTGGTGACCTTTGGTCATCAAATCCAGTGTCTTCCCAGCCTTCATCCCCCTCACCTCTCAGTGACCTTTGGTCTCACTGGCCACCTGATTGCCCCAATTCTCTGCCAATGCCCAGTGTGGCCTCAGTGGCCAGGCTGTGGAGTTCACTTGCCTGGAGTTGAGTCCCACCTGCATGTTTTCTAGCCACCTGCCCCTGCCCCTTGTGCTTTGGTTACTTCTCTACAAAATGGGAATAATAACACTGCTGACCTCACAAAAGCCTCAGGAGGACTTAGTGAAATTATGCACGTAAACATCTCGAACAATGCCTGGCACAGGAGGAAAGCCTGGCAGGTTAGCTATTAGTCTACAGCCTCTCAGCTCCCACCCCAGGTACTCTCCCCTTCCTTTCAGGGCTCTGGCTCAGGTCCTACTCTCCAACCCATCCTGTTTTGAAGCCAGACCTCTGCTCTCAGATCTCCCTCTGCCTGGAGGTTGTAAGTATAAGGAATCTTAGCTCAAGTGGGTTTTTACAGATGAGGACATTGATTGGCTCCAGTAACTGGATAATTTTGGGCTGTGAGCTGATCTGACACCCCATTTCTCTCTTTTCTTCTGGGGCTCCAGCTCCCAGGCCTTGGAGGTGGAAGCACCTTTCGTGATTCAAAGATGGCCCTGGTAGCTCCCAAGATCTCTCTTCTTAGTGCATATCCAGTGGGCAGAGACTACCTGCTTCCCACAAATTTCAGTCTTCAATCCAGGAACAGAGCCTCCTTGAGCTGTCAGCCCAGATCTGAGCCAATCACTTAAGTCAAGGCCAGGGGCTCAAGATAATCAAAGCCTATCCTGGGAGATGGTGGGAGTGCTGCCAATACCACCCCAAGGACAGAGATTGGCATCTGCTTTGGAAAATTCTGAGTATTATGAGAACAGGATATGAAGAAGGGATGTTAGGAAGAAACTCCACTAACATCCAGATGCCACTTCTTCCACGACGTTGTCCTTAAGTCTCCTCTGCCAGTTGCTCTCTCGATCACCTCAAACTCCTCTCTCCTCTTCTCTACTAACTTCCCTCCTTTCCTCTCCTCTCCTGTCCTCTTTCTTGTCTCTCTGCTCCTAGAAGATGTCTGTTTCCATTGCATCTCCTGGGCCTCCTTCTCAGGCCTGGTATCTAGAGTCCAAATCATGCACATCTCAAAACCTTATCCTCTAGTACTGTGGAAGGCTGAGGTAGAAGGACAAAGTTCTGGCCCAGGTTGGGCAACTTGGCAAGACCCTGTCTCAAAATTAAAAATAGAAAAGGCTGGTGATTAAGTCAGTATGAAGGCCCTAGTACTGAAAAAAAAAAAATCCTCCCTGGGCTTCCAGCTCTCCTGGTTCTCTTTGTTATTCTGCTTTCTTACATATTCTGTTTCTGTCTTCCCTGCTTTTCTTCCAGCTCCTCCTATCCCCTACACTGAGTCTTCCCACAAGGTGTGGCCTCAGAGGTCATGCCTGGCTGACTGCTGGGCTTTCAAGACAGCTTCCAGGGGAGTTTCCAAATCAAAGCCTTTAGCCCTGATCTCAGTTTTGCATGCCACACTTGCAGCTTTTAATTGTGCAAGACATGGTTCCCCAGTAAATTTTTCTGGAAAGTATAAGGTACTATACAGTTTTTATCTATTACCTGTTGGACTGAACTGAAGTGTTGTCCTTTCTCGACTCCCCTGTTCTGTAAATGATCTGTGATAGTTCACCCATTGCATTGATCAAGGTACCAGGATACATAAGCAGACTTGACCCAGATGCGGGTTTTGCCTCACCTTTAATATCCGTGTAAAGACTCTTGGCTGTTTGATCTTTTTGTCCCCATCTGTAGAGGGACGTAGGGTTGGTAGGAGGTCCGTGGACAGTGATGGCTCCTTCATTCAGGGTCTGAAGAAAAGTCTAGCCCGTGTCTCCCAGCCCCTTTCCCCTCTCTGTCTGCATTTACTGGCCTGACCCTGGTTTGGACCAAGTTTGGCACCTTGACTTTAGCTACTAGTATTTCCTTTGAGACTCTGGTCGTGGCCATGTGCTCAATATGTGGTTCAAAACCCACTGGAAAAAAGTCTCAGTGCTGAAGAGATGATGAAAGGGTCCAGAGTCCTTCTGTGCTCAAGATCGTCTGGATTCCAGTACTCCCACTGGGCAGAGTTTGGGAGAAATCGTCTCAGCTCTTCCTACTGGACACCACACAAGAAGCTGGGCCTGAACTGGCTGCTGTGTCTTTGAGAGGATCGTCCATGCCTGGTGTCCTTAATTAGGGCCAAAGTGAATAATTTCCTGTAGAGCCAAATGTTAGCAAAAAGGCTGAGAGCCAAGTACGTGACCATGGTGGCCTTTTACTCAGCCACTAAGGAACTCAAGGCCAATTTCCAAATCAACTCTGCACTGCTCAGGACCCACTAAACCACCCATGGTATCTTTTCTGTGGCTCTGATGCTTCCTTTTTCATTTGTATCTTATTAATTTATTGCATGCATTTCCTATGATCTGCCTCAAATCCTCCCTGGAACAAGGAGAGGAATACATTAATATTTACAATAAAATAAACAAAATGTCAGTGCGTGTGTGTCTTAGGTTGGAAATTCCTTAAGGGCAGGGACCATGTCTGTTTATATAGCACCTGGCACAGCGTCAAATTGAGGCTTAAGAAATGAATTTTGATGGAGAGGGGGAAGAATCTGTGGAGAACTTTCAGCTGATGTTCTTCCAAATCCTCCCTGGCCAGGGGTCCCCTTTGCTCACTCAGACACAAATTCCCACCCTATTCCTGACAATCCAAGCTTATGGCATTGTCCCCTTGTCCACAGGCTCGCCACAGCCCACTTTGTCCTAGGCCTTGCCCCTGCTCACTCTCAGACGATGTCCCTCCCCTCGGGGACACAGCCACACCCTCACCTGGCTCAGCGCTTCACCCCCAGGCCCCAGCTCCCCTCTCACCCACTGCCCTGACCCTGTGGCTTGCCCAAGGCTAGGCAGCCACTTTCGGTGCTAGGAAATGCCAGCGGTGGAGCATTTTGAGGTGCTGTCCCCATGCGTGCCTTGGCCCTGTGGGGGCCTCCAGCCAGGCGGGGACCTGGCAGAGGGAGGGAGAGGATAAGCTGCTTCAAAACTCCAGATGCAGCAGTTAAAAAGAGGACAGAGGCAATGATCCTTCAAATTGCCACATCTGTATAATCTGCCTTTTATTTTCTGCTTCATGAAGTTTTATTTCCTATTATTTATTCACCTCCCCGCCCTCCCCTCCCCCGCCTCTACTCCTCCTTAGCAGGCGACATGCTCAGATGGGCCCTGAGCCTTGGCCTGGGTCTGGGTACCCCCCAGCACCCCCTCCCCAGGCTGGCTGCTGGCGAAGGCACCTGCTCCTCCTCCTCTGGCTCTGGCTCTCTCCCTCCCTTCCTTGGGGCATTAGGGGGCTGCAACTCCCGCACCTTTGTGTTCCAGCTCCTAAAGACCCCTCCCTCCATCTTCCAAGTAGGGCCCAGAGGAGATGCATATGGGGGCGGTGAGCCCTGTTCCCAAGTCCTGCATCACCATTAGCATCCCTGAGTTCTAG